GAAGAGAGATTCGTTGAAATTATAATTTGCTTCAAGTAACTTGTTATTTTTGATAGATCCTCCTTAAGAAATCTGTATAACTAAGGCATCAGTGATACTAACAATGTATTGATTTCATATGAAATTTATTATTTTTTTTACATTTGTAAAATTGCCAGATACATCTACGAGTTATAGACATTTACAAAACAATTAATTTTGTTGTCCAAATAAAACAGATTTTGTGTTGATTTTTCTCCATTTTGTATCTTGGTTGTTTAAGCTTCTAGAATTATGTAAGACTTGATGAAACAAACTCTAAGGCAGTAAATATCTTGTGAATTTTTAGATGTACAGCCATTTTTTCTTATCAATACAGTGATATTTTGTAAAAAAGCACTTTAATTTGCTTTTACAAATGTGTCACTGAATGGTAATAAAAAAAAATTACAAGTGCAAACGTAGTAATGAACTTGAATATATAAATTATTGGCTTAAAAAAATATCTTTAAAAAAAGAAAGAAAGAAAAACAGACTCAATATTTCCTAGATTTTAATGATAAATTCTCGGTCTATAGCTATAAGATTGATGTGCTCTTATGAATAAAATTCATAAAATTTCAGTCTGATAGAACTTGTATTAAAATTAATGCTTTTAATGATTTAAAACAACAGGAACTTTGCAAAAAATTAGGATCTTTTTTCTTGTAATAAGAATGCTGCTTTAATATTTTGCAGGGAAATGGTGTGAGAGATTCATTTGACTTCAGCAAGACGTGCGATCTTCCATCTGCTATGCAATACACACTATGCAAGATATTCTAAGCAGTATTAGAAATTCCAAATTCTTCCAAACACACATTTTCAGTAAGGAAAAAGGTAAGGATTTCTAGGAAATTATGTGACAGTTGGTAATTTAAAGGATACAATGTAATCCATATTTCAAAAAAAAGTTGTATGTTGGCCTTGATCTGTTGTTAGAAAGAATAAAAAATATTTTTTTGTAAAAGTATTCCCCCCCCCATTCATTAATACTTCATGAGGTTTATTGTCACTGTAACTGTTCCTTGGCAATTTGGATTGTTACACTGACTGTCCACAGAAAGTTGTCAAGACTCAATTGAAAATGTAATACCGCTGTATTATCAGTATGCACCGCTCTGTACAAGTATGGTTACGCTTGGTATTGAGCAATTGGCAATTCTAATATTTGGTTATTCTGATAAAATTAGACTTACAAGTTGACTATTGGATAAAACGGGATCCACTGTGTATATGTGGATGATCAGTACAAACTAATAATGTGTGAAATGAAAAACACTAAATTGGTGTTGTTCAGAAATGTTTAAAAAATACTGGAATTCATTTCATTTTACTGCACATGCTATACAGAGATACCGAATTGCTCAAAAAGGAGGATCCAAAACTAATGTTTAAAGGTATTAAAAGGTTTGACACCAGCCCTCTGGTATGGAATCTTTTTGACATAAATCCTCAAAATGGCGAAGAGATGTCAGTGATTTTTCTGTAAATCCAGAGTGATTCATATTCAGCCAAAGATTTTTTTCTGAGTTCAACATTTTCTGCCTGCATAATAAATAGCTCAGACAAGGCCTTCTCCATTTAGTAAGACATGAGTCTAAATGGATTTTGGTGTATGGCTTTGACTGGCAGTTTTTGATAGGTCCTAATTGAATCACAAATTTGATTAAGTGATGAATAGATATTTCTGGTGCAGGCCTGCTTCAGACAGCTACTGCGGGCTGAAAAGTGTTCACCAACTCCATTACAATATGCATTTATTTTGATCTCGTTCTGTATACAATGTCCAAATATTTGGCAGAACTGTCAGTACTTGAAACCTTTTTAGCTTACCTGAACAAACTGAGGTTCAAGTGGGGTTTATTTGCTGTGTGTTGGTCAGTCCTAGTTATCCGAGTACCTGTAAATGGTAAATTTCTCAGCATATCATGTCTTTGTTTTGTTTACATGGTCTGCTTACTCAAGCATCAACATCAAAACAGTGTTGGGATGCTGTGTTAACCATGACATGGACGTGCAATAACTTTCTGATACCAACTTTAACCATCAAACCCAAGTTTCTTGGATGATGCTTTAATGAAATATATGGAGATAACAAATAGTATTCAAGCTCAAAAGTCCATGAAACAATACAAAATAGGAGCGGAGCCAACACGGACTTCCCAACCATCAGAGGTTGGATCAGGTGTCATGGAGGAGTGAGCATCCCCTGCCGACCGATCACACCCGCTGTATGCTCCTTGTAATGATCGGGAAATAATGGAAAAATCTGTCATCAATTTAGTTTTTAAATACAGTTAGTATTAATACAACATCAGTTATCATTTGACTCGATGATAAATTGTATTTGTTGACAAGGTCATTGTATCGACCATAGAATGTACGAAATGATGACTTTAAACAAGACTGCTGATATTCTTGTTTCATCAACTTGTTTGTCAATAATTTACCTTGTTTTAGAAATTGTACTACGTAGAGC